ACAGCTCCCCCTCCCGCAGCAGCAGCAGCAGCAACAGCACCGGGAAGGAGGGAAGGTGTGCGTGGTCCAGGGACGGAAGCAGGCCTGTGACCCGCGCCAGCCGCAACCTGGGCGCCACCGGGTGGGAGAAGGCACCGGGGCCCCGCACGGCGGAGAGGAAGAGCCCACGAAGCCCGCAGGAGCAAAGCGCCGCGCGAGCACGAACCCGGCACATCTTCAGACCCGCGGGGCTCACGGCCGACCCTGGTTCCCGTGCCAGGAAGAAGAGTTTGCGAAGCACACGAAACACGGGTGAAAGCAAGGCAGTAGGAAATGTGCCGGAAACAGCGGCCCCAACCAGGGGCCCAGCGAAAAGAAATCCCAAGGCCGCACTGCACAGCAGACCAAAAAGCAATGAGGCCACTCAGAGCAGAAATCAGGGCGCTCCAAGGCGGTCCCCCCAAAGAAGAAACGCACAAAGTCCAGGAAAGGGACAAAATGAGTCGGGAGCTAGAAGACATTATTATTAGCAAAGCAGAAACGATGGCCTATGCTGCTTCTCTCAACATGAAAAAAATGAGAAAAACTCCAGGAAAGAGGACAAATTATGTAACAATATCATAATCCCAAGACAGATCTAGCAAACTAAAATGTGGCAAGAATTCCGAGCAACTGATTAAGTGTGAGAGAAGTAAATCCATTTAAGCCAGATGTGGGACACCCTCCTTCAGGTGGCCTAAGCGTGTGTTTGACATCCGGCTTTCAGGGATGGGATTTAGGAATCACTGAGACCTCTTTCAAGATGTCCTTGGCCCTCTCTGACTCGCTCATTCACGCAACAAGGACGTACTGAGAATCCTACATGCCTGGCGCTGTCCTAGGAGCAGAGATAAAACAGTGAGCAAAGACGACAAAATCCTGCCACCCAGAAGCTTACATTCTGATGCGTTTTTTCCTGTGCCTTTAATTTTCAAGGAAACATGTGATCAAAAATAGATAGCAATTAATAATTAACAAAAAATACTTCATCCCTAATGAGATTTCTCTCAAAGAGAAGCATAATTCTGCAAAAAGTAGGTTACTTAGGTGGTTTTCCTAAAGTCGATCCTCTTAAATCAAAAATCTAAAACAAAGTGCCAACCTAGAATTCTTGACCCAGCAAATACATTGTTCAAAAATGAAGTGAAATAACATTTTTATATTAAAAAAATCTGAAACCTTATCACCATAATATCCACACCTAAGGAAACACTAAGGGACATTGTTCTTCAGGCAACTGAGAAATGCAGGAAAGAATAAAGAGAAATAGAAAGCATAAATGCTACATATATATATAAGTAAATAAAAACGCTGGCAGTGTAAGACAGTAAGAATGCCTTGTGCTGTTTTAAATGTATACAGAATTAACAGAAACAACAAAACATGTAATAAAAACAAAAGAGCATAGAAACCTTAAAAAAAAAAAAAGCTTCCCATACTCTTAGGAAATGATTGATTGTTCTGTGACCATGAAAACAATAACCACTAGAGCAAGTTTTAATAGATCAAGGACAACTATTTCACTGGTCACATTTTTGAAAGCCAGCCAATCAGTAACAGCCATGACTCTGAAATCATACAGTCAAGATTATCACTCCAGTGAACATTCCTATAAAATGATCAAATATTTACAAATGTCAAGGCATTTCTTTAAAAAAATGGGATGATACATATCCATATATTGTTAACCTTCATAACAATGGTACTCCTTTTAGATAATACATAAATGAAGGAAACCTAGGATACAAATAATGAGATTTAACAGGAGCTGTTAGCAAAGCAACACCCAGAGACAATATACCTCCAGCTCCTGATCCATAATCATGCAGCTCTGGGTTCTTTTTCACATCTGGAGTCAGGTTCTTCCACACCACCCCAGGCCCAAGGGTCACTGTTCTATGAGAATAGCAGTTAGACTATTCCCAATGTGTGACTCCCAACATGTTCAGTAGCTTCAGTCTTCTAAAAAACAACGCATATAGACTAAAATCTTTCCTTTCCTAGCTGATGAAGGAGATTTCCAAGGATAAGGTCCCATCCATACTCATCTCATCAAACTATAGCATACCTTCACAGCTTGTAATTATTGACAACAAGAAATAAAGTGCTTGAATCAAATACTTTTTAGCTACTCAAAATGATAGCATTAACATTTACAATCAAAATAATAGATTTTCCATTTCACACACTTTTACTTCATATTTCTACCTCATAATTTTAAGCACCAAATGCACTGAGTTTATTCCTAAAATGGTTTTAAAACACATCTCTAACTGAAGTATAATTGTTTTCATTTAAAGCATTGTTCTGCCATTCAAGAGTCATCTGATTTACATAAATGCTAGTTAAGCACCATAGAAATCCTCCAATAGATAACTAGAATGTCACAAGTCACTTAATCCATTCTGTCAAAACAGAGATTATTTAAACTTGTTTCATGTCCTTCAAAAGAAATCCTATTTACTTTATTTTCTCTAACAGAAAAAAAAATTAGCAGGATAAACTTACAACTTACATCCCCAATCAAACTTTAAAATGATTCTGGTTAACCACAAATTGACTCAAGTAGTTAAGTATTTTTCTGAATGTATTCTACTGAAACATGTCTCACAACATGTAATAATGTCATATAGTAATTGGGTTACTGTTTTACAGAATTAAAAATTATTTCACTGACTATTCTTCTTAGTCATTCACAGATAAAAAGGGTACTCTTGTCCTTATAAATTATCCAAGAAAACTAGATGATGGCCGAAAGTAAACAATTTTGTAAATAGATAGCTCTTTTACTTAGGGTTAAAATATAACCATAAAAAGCTATTATTAATAACACCTTTCACTAAGCTGAATTCACAAAAATTTTTACAAAGATATAGTCTACTTCTCTCACTTTCAAACATCCTCACAATATTTGGAAAAATAAAGACAAAAATTATTTTTCAATTATTTTTAAAAATTCAGAAATATAAAACTTCAACTGTTTACCAACCATAGATTATAATACAGGAAACTAAGTTAAAGAAATGCCATGAATACTATGAACTTTAAATAAAATTCTAGCCATAATTTATTGAACTCAGATTAATAAAGAATATTCACAATGATACAAAATGAAAAAGAGTACCATAGTAGTTTTTTGGTGACTTAACAAAAATTAATCACCATAAATAAACAGTCATATGACTCCTAAATTTGCCATACAAAGATATGTGGCTGGTTCTCAGACCTAAACTAGATCCCTTTACACTTTAAAAACTTTTCTTATTTTCACACGAATATTTTCTTTTTAACAAAATATTACCTAATCAGATTCTAAATATGAATCTTTAGAAAAGAGATTAACAAAACAATTAAAAAATACTTACTGTCTTGTTACGTAATCTAATTATGTCCGAGACAGAGCCAGCTCCACAGTACTCCATAACGATCCAGAGGTCCGTGTTCTTAAAGTAACTGCCATAGTACTTGACAACATACGGGCTACAGAAAGTTATACAATCAAACTTAGTTAATTCCCAAAGAAAATCCTTTCTTACTCCCAATACAAAGTATTTCAACATTTCATGATGTTCCAATAAATAAACTTAATGTTTAAACTTCTATTCTACATTGAATTGCCTATATGTAGGGTTTACCAACTGTGTTAATCAGGCTTTAATTGACTGATGAAATTTAACAGGATTACAAACCACAGGAGGCCCAAATGTTTTCAGTGATTCCCACGAAATTAAGGCTTTGTTCTGGTAAAGAACCACTATTTAACATAAGGAATAAATGAAAATATTTTTAACTAAAGCATTTGAAATACAACTCTTCTAAAGAATTTTCTTTCTTCTTTTTTTTTTAATATGTCTTTACTGATTTCAGAGAAAGGAACGGAGAGGGGAAGAGACAGAAACATCAGTGATGAGAGTCATCAATCGGCCGCCTCCTGCACGCCCCCGACTGGGAAGCGAGCCTGAAACCTGGGCGTGTGCCCCGACCGGGAAACGAACAGCTATCTCCGGGACCCTAGGTCGATGCTCAACAGCTGAGCTAAGACGGCTGGGATTCTAAAAGTTTTTCAACAGTCAAATATTAACACTCAACATTAAAATACTTTATATTTCAATAGAGTCAAAAAAATTTTTTTAATTCAGATAGTTAAAATTATTAACAATTTAAAGTATTTCTGAACTGAGGTTTTACGTCTTTCAGGGAAGAATAAACTGTGTTTATAGCCAAGCTGTTTTAGCAAGGCTCACAAAGAGCAAAACGACCGCCATTAAACTTATCAAGGGCATGCTACATACACTGACGCGCAAAACACCTGCAGAACTCAAGGCGGCAGACTATCCGCAGTCACATAAAAAGACGGAAAACACGAGGCAGCAGAAACTAAACAGCTCACAGCTTCAATGCTGTAAGAGCTCGAGGAGGACGTGGCCTGGTGGAGCCATCGGAGAAAACTCTGTAGACGAGAGGGGGCTGAATTACAAAGAAGAGGGTAAATTTCAAAATGTGGGTAGAGAACAGAGGTAAGAACATTCCAGAAAAGAGAAAGGCCATGAGCAAAGGCACATAAGCAGAAAGGAAAAAATTAAGAGTGGTATGTTTAGGGGGCAACTTGTTCAAAAGATATTTCCATGTAGTAGTAGCTATCCTGAAAAGTGTCATCAGTGTCAGACAAGTAAGACACAGTAATTAAATAAACAAAAAGTAACAAAAATGGAAAGTAGTATAAAAGACCAAATAGAGACCACAAAAGAAGAGTGTAGGAGAAGCCAGGGAGGACTTCTCAGCAGAGCCTTTATAACTTCTGCTGTCTTGAAGTAAAGGGTAGGGCAGATGGGTTAAAAGGCCTAAGCTAATGCCAGTCGCTACGGGCTAAAAATTAATTTAGATTTATCCCTATTGCTCCTCATTACCTCTTGCACAGAATTCCTTTCCAACAGATCTCCCTGTCATAGTTTTCTGCCCCCATAGAGTTAACAAGGTTGCCTCCCTTTAAATCAAAAGTAAAATAAGCTGATTATAGCGCTCTCCCAATTTAAAAAAGTCTTAACTGCTTCATAAAAGTCTATCAAATCTGATGACTCACAACCAACAGTCTGGACAGACCATGATGTAAAAGACGATTATGTATTTAAATGAAGCTGTCGATCAGCATCAGAAAACAGAGCTGACCGTCCTGCAATCACCCAGTGACCCACTCTACTACGTAAAAGTCAGCCGTGTAAAGAAGACAACGAAGGTGACAGCCAGGTGTCTCACCCCACTCTCCCCGGGTGATCATTCAAATTGCTTCATTATTGGATCAAAGACTGAAGCTGAGAGGGGAGTCAGTGGGTACCAGGAATCGGTACAGAATGAAGCCAAGTGTCCAATCAAGACGTTACTCAGCTCCAGTGGTCAGCCAACTTCAGTGAGCTTCCCCCAGGGAAAGAAAGGACAGCCTGAGACCGTGTCAGTTCAGTCTTCAGTACTGGGAAATGGAGCAAGACAGACCTCCACCCACCAAACTGCCCTCAAACTCAGGAAATAGTTCCTCAGGTAACTATATTACTCCACAACAGGCCAGCAGCTTTCCTAAATCTCCAGCTCCTCCTCCAGACTCTAAGCCCCCAAGTCTTTCTCGGAAGTCATCTGAGGATCTCAGTCATGGGCATGCTTTCCCCAGCTGCCCCGCCACCTGCCAGTTCTCCACAGAGAAATGAAAGCTTAAAAAGAAAACACCAAGAGCTTTTGGGTTTATTTTTTTGGTTTTTGTTTTCTTTTTTTTTAAGTTGATAAATTGCATACTTCATTCACAACAGATTTTCTATACATTCCACATTTAAACAGAAGTACACAATTACTGTCAAAGATGTATTATCTATCAAATATTTGCTTTATTACCGTGCTCTGAAAATTTATCTGTCAGGATAAACTTGATGTGTTAGGAATTAAGCATGTATATTCAAAAAAATAGCAAAATATGCCAAGTATTAAGCCCCTGGTGGGCCTGGCATTATGCTATGATCAATCTTTCCTTTTCTATGTCAAATTATGGGAACCACATTCTTACCCAGTTACCAAATTAATAGAAAGGTCTGGGGAAAATTTGTAATTATGTTTTTTGATCTGGGAAATGAGGGCTGGGGAATGTATTATTTCTCTATAACCATTTGAATTTCCAGTTATACAGCCTTAATGAAAATATGTAACATAACCTAAATATATAACCCACGATAAAGAAAAGCAAAATTAAACACACCCAAGCAACAAAGTTCCCCGAAGATTATACAGTCCCTTCATGAGCCAGAGAGCTTATATACTGTTGGAAGAGGTTTTCCATAGATCTCTTACTAATAGGACTATGTTTTGACTAGGGGTGACAATGTGTGTAGGCTCCCCTAAGTCACTGGTTCTAAGTCGCTGTGTGTCAATTCTAATAAATAAAACATTAGCTAGGGGGTTCTAGGAAAGCCCTTTCCTGCTTCTTCCCTTTTCTTTCCTGCTGGAATATAGACATAAGGCTGGAGCTGGAGCAGCCCTCTTATAACCATGAGACAACAGGCATGAAAACAAAGGACACATGACAAGAATGGCACAGTATAAGAAAAGAAACCTAAGATAGTTGTTACACTGTTGCTGCTATTCCAGCCCTACCTCTAGACCTTTGGTAAAGGGAAAATAAGAAACCGCTCTTTGATTAAGTAACTAGAGGCTAAATACAGTTCTAATTTATATACTCTGCGTCCCTTATAAAGGCCAGCTATTTAATGGGGTGTAGTAAGTCCCTTCATGACCAGCTCCATTTACTATCCAAACTCATTTCACACAAATCTCAGTCTCATACTTTCCACTCCAGTAATTCTAAACCTTGTCAGAATAGCAAATACCACTGGCTGCTTTTCACCTCTCTACCTGTAATTCTCTATAGCCTCTCATTCCTCCATTTCTTCACCAACTTAACCCTTCCTCAGCATTCCAGACTTCCTGACTCCTGGCTGAGATGGGTGCCCTGCCTCTTTGTTCCCACATCACCCCACGCACCAGTCATATGGTGACTGAGCTGTATTATAGCTATTTATTTTAAGGATCTGTCTTCTCAACTAGATTACCAGCCAGCCCCTCAAAAAGAAAAACAGCATCTTAGCTCTCTTGGTACTCCTAGATCCTGGCACAGAACCTGGCCCACTGGGGATGCTCAGTAAATGTTTGTTGAATGAATTAAGAGTTCATAACACTGTTTTGAATTAACAAAAAGAGTAACATAAAAAAGACTGTTAAATCACCCACCCTTAACATCAAAAAATAATTTTCACCCATAAATTTGCCCTGCAAATGGAAAAACTGAGTATTTTCTATCAGCATATGTTACTTTATAATTTTTGCTTAAGAGCTATAAGTCCTAAAGACAAGGGTTAGCCTCACTTCTAATGGGAAGTCAGAAAACTAAACAGATGACCAAAGAACACATTTTATTATACATTATTAGCAAAACTCATCAAATGAAGGTAAATGAAACAAAATCTCTTCATACCTGTCACATTGCTGCATTATGGAAATTTCTTTGATTATTTCCTGAAGATCTGACTCAACAGGTACTTGTTTAATTGCTACAACTTGACCAGATTCCTTATGTATTGCTTTAAATACACTTCCATAAGACCTAAAAGAAATCAAGACATTTTTTTTTCCTTTCAAACATCATAACTATTAGAGAAAAAGAGTCTATGATGAATTTTTGTGTGTAGTCTTTTCCAGTTTAAAACATGACTTAATGATGATGAATCAAAGTAAATAAATAATCAGAAAAGTGAATTATACCTTAGCTCTAATGCTTCAATTATTGACTTAAAATCTATTAAAATCACCAGGTTAATATATAAACATTTGTTGCTTTTCTTATAAATGAAAAAATCTGGCTTACAGCTTGTCAACTCAAACAAATGAAGCATTAAGAAGATTAAAATGGAAATTAAAAGAATGAAAAATAGCCCAGGCTGGTGTGGCTCAGTTGGTTAATCCAATTGAGTTGATTTTTATGTATGGTGGAAAACAGGTCCAGTAACAGCCTTTTCCATGCAGCTGTCTGGTTTTCTAAACATTATTTGTTAAAGAGACTATCCTTTCCCGGTTGTATATCCTTAGCTCTTCTGTCATAAATTAACTGACCATACAGGCATGGATTTATTTCTGGGCTCTCCATTCTATGTGTCTGTTTTTATACCAATAGCAGACTGTTTTGATTGCTATATCTTTATAATATAATTTGAAATCAAAGTGCATGATGCCTCCAACTTTGTTCTTGTTTCTCAAGATTGCGTCAACTTTTAGGGATCTTTTATAGTTCCATATAAATTTTAGAATTCTTTGTTCCATTTCTGTGAAAAATGCCATTGGAATCTTAATAGCGATTGCTATAGATGTTTTAACATGTGAATTCTCTCGATCCACAAGCACAGAGTATCTTTCCATTGATTTGTGTCTTATTCAACTTTTCCATCAATGTCTTACAGTTTTCAGTGTTCAGATTTTTCAGCATCTTGGTTAAATTTATTCCTAGAGATTTTATTCTTTATGATACAATTATAAATGGGATCGTTTTCTTAATTTTCTTTCTGATAAATCTGTTGTTATAAAAACACAACTGGTTTTTGTATATTAATTTATATCCTGCAACTTTACTATATTCGTTTATTAATTCTAACAGTTTTTGCGGAATCTCTATATAATAGTGTATCACCTGCAAACAGAGATAGTTTTACTTCTTCCTTTCTGATCTGGAAGCTTTTTCTTTCTTTTTTCTTGCATAATTGCTCTGTCTAGGACTTCCAGTACTATGTTGAATAAAAGTGGCCAGAGTGGCCATCCATGGCTTGTTCCTGATCTTAGAAGAAAAGCTTTTAGCTTTTCACCACAGATATGATGTTAGCTGTGGGTTTGTCATATATGGCCCTTACTATGTTGAGGTATGTTCCCTCTATACTATTACTATTAAATTCAAGCAAATAGAAAAATTAATACTATAAAATATCTTATAATTGTTCTGTCATTATCTAAATGCTACTTTCATATTTTTGTACTTACCCTTCCCCAAGTTTCTCTAATACATCAAAAACTTCTTCAGGCTGCTTAGTCAAACTGTCTTCACTCAGCTTTTTTAGCTTACTGGTGACAAAAAGATAAGAAGAAAATATTTTCCATAAGATCTTTAATAAAATTTTAAATTTTATTTTAAGGAGGCAATATACTCAGTTGGCTCAAAACTCAAATACAAAAAAGTATATAATAAATAGTCTCCTACCAAACCCTGTTCTTCTCTGTCCAGAAACACCCCAAAGAATAACCACTTTTATTTAGCTTCTTGTGAAACCTTTATGAATGTTATTATTTCTCCCGCTTTTCAATACACAGCATTTTACCCATTCTTTTTTACACACTTTGCTGTTTTTGCTTAACAACACGAAACTTACACTGAAGGTCTCCACAATGTAAGTGCAAAGACACAGTACTCTCATTCCTTCTTCCCTACATCTGCAGCCTACTTTATTGCAAAGATGTAGCACCTCTTACTCGCTAATTCTTATTTATGGAGATCCAGGTTCCCTTTTGCTATTATAAACACTGTGATAAAAAAAAGCTTATACATAAGTCAATTCACACATGTATTAGTATATCTGTAGGATAAATTCCCAGAAGTGAAACTGTGAGGTCTAGCAAATTCACAAAACACATACAAATACAAAAGCATATGTGTTAATAAGTATATACAAGTATAATCATGTTATACTATAAACTTAATAATGTATATATAACTAATAAAATAACTATTATGTGTTACATACTTATATATAGTATATAACTCATAATATAACGTAGTAATTATTAAAATCAGTGATTACATTATATTACTTTACCTACTATAATTGCCTGTTATATAAACATATATGTATATTAATAGATATTAGCAAATTGCCCTCCAGGGTACTTGTACCAATTTATTCTCCTACCAGTAATATATAAGAAAGCCTCCTTTCCCACAGTCCCACTAAGAGTATTTACCCAAATATTTGGATTTTAGCCAGTATGTTAGGTGAAAACTTGTAACTCAGAGTAGATTTAATTTGCATTGCTCTTATTATGAGTGAAGTTGGTCATCTTCTATTATAGTTATGAAACTAAACCATCTGATCATGTTCTTTGCTCACTTTTCTACTGTGTTTTTGGCGTTTTTGTTATCTGTATACAATATAAATTGGTCTTTGTTTAGGTTGCACATATTTTTGCTTGTATTTTGACTTCACTTATGACTTTTTAGTTTTATGGTCTATTTGACTGTTTGCCATACAGAAATGTCTTTTTGTTTTCTCTTTTCTTTTGTTTTTGCTGTTTAAAAAACATCATCCACATATATGGCATGTGCAGGCATCTGGAAGCAAAGAGATCAGAGAGATTATGCACAGTATGTCTGACAGACCAAACATAATGCAGTATGAATGAAGCTTCGTGTATGAAGGACCCAAAATAATTCAACATGAATCAAGCAAAAATGACCAGCATGTAGAGGTGAGCAGGGTCCAGTTTAAGAAAAAAAGCCTTGTAAACCATGTGAAGGAGCTCTATTTTAAAATGATCACTTCCCACCTGGCTGGGGTGACTGAATGGTTGAAGAGTCGCCCTATGAACTAGGAGGTCATGGTTCATTTCCTGGCCAGGGCACATGCACAGGTTGAGAGCTCAATCCCCAGTAGGGGGCATGCACCAGTCGATCAATGACTCTTATCATTGATGTTTCTATCTCTCCCTCTCCCTTCCTCTCTCTGAAATTAATAAAGACTTTTTTTTTTTAAAAATGATCACTTTCCCTGTAAAGCAGAGGAAGGACATACAGTGAACAACAGTAGAAAAGGGAAACTAGTTAGGAGCTGATTCGATATATGAATGCACAGAACATAATCCTAACAGTAAGAATGGACAGAAAATAAGCTATTCAAGACACTAAAGAAGCATAATCAACAGGGAGTGGTTTTGATTAAATATGGGGTGACGAGGGGAAGAGCGGAGTTGAGCGTGTCTCTTAAGCCTTTGGCTTAATGTCATTTACCAAGCTAACAAACACCAGTAGAAAACAGTTTGGAGGGGAATATTATGGGATTAAGTCAACTCATCCAAATGCAGATTTCCAGTAAGCAAGTGTATCCCAAAAGAGATCTGAGTTGAAAATATCACTTTTGGTGCCATCAGCACATAGATGGAGCCTGAAGGCATGAGAAGAGACCAAATCATCAAGAAAACGTCTAAAAAGAAAAACGGGTCAAGGAGAAACAGCTCCCAGGAAAACATCAATATTTAAGCAATGAGGTCATGTAGGACAAGAAGGCAGTACTTGACCATGTCAAAAGCTTTTGAAAGTTCAAACCAAAAAAATTCAAAAGTGTCAGTTACAGAATTTCCACTTCTGAGCACAAGGAAGTAACAGGATCCAGGATTATCTGTCTGCTGTAAACAACTAGAAAACTCAACAAATATAGGAAACAACTATTTTCAGACATTAGATGTTAGGCATTTCAGAACTGAGGTCCCTGAGAAAAGGGGAAGAAATAAGCCTCACTATCATCAAGGCGTTAGATCGAGAAGCTTGGGCAGACTGGACACAGGGGAAAAGGAATCCAAGTGGAGCCCGACAGTTCTGCTGAGTTGACGAAACAGAGACGAGGCTGCGGGGCGGCAAGGAGAATAAAATCCGCATGACCGGACACCTTCCAGAAGAGAGCTCTACAGAGAAAGAGGTCCGGCAACTTACCCAGGTGCTCCCGTGACTAACCCCAACCTGTGCACGCTCACAAAAACACACACTCTGCAAAGCCCAGCAAAAAAGTCAGTTTCCTAAGGACAATGACGAGGAAGCAGATTACAGTGCAGCAAAAAAGTTGAATAACTTGAAAAAAATGTTTAAAAGAAAGCCTGTGCCTCACGTGAAAATGAAGGATGTATATATAGAGAGAGATTAGATACACAGAGGATAGCTAAAATAATAAATAGATATGAGATCAACAGACAGATGGACAGATAGACAGATGTAGAGGGAGGAGGGAGAGAATAGCCAAACATTTTCCAAATTTTATAAAAACAATAAACCTACAGATACAGGAAACTCAACAAATCTAAACACACACACACGCACACACACACACACAGATAATTACAATGAAATTGCTGACCACCAATAAGAGCGAGACTACCAAGCAGTCAGAGGGAAACCCATTACCTTTATGGGAACAGAAACAAGGATGTCTGCAGACTTCTTGTCAGACACTGAGCCAAGCCAGTGAGAGACAGACACCTTTAAACTGCTGAAAGAAAACAACCAACCTAAAATTCTACATCAAGTGAAAATACGCTCAAAACATGAAAGGGAAATTCAAAAATTTTTTTCAAACAAAAGGGTGAGAGGATTCAATAAGTGGTTAAAAACAGTTCTTCAGGCTCAATGAAACTGATGCGAAAGGAAACATAAATCTACACAAAAGACTAAAGAGCGACAGCTAATAAAAATATAAGTAAACACAGGAAAATGTTCCTTCCACTCGGCAGCAGCACACATACTCTTCTCAAGCGTGTACAGAAGTCTCCAAAAGATACTGCATGCTATGCTAGGCCCCCAAAAACTCTTATAATTGTCAGAAGACAAATCATACAAAATATCTTCTCCAATCGTAATGGCAAAGGACCTTCTACCGCATTTCAGCTCCATAATTTTCAATGTCGCCTTCTCTTCCAGCAAGCTGCCCTATATTTCAGTGATCACATTATTGGTAGTGTTATGACTACTCATAGCGGCTATTTAATTTCAATGAAGTGTTATAAAAGTCAGGCTGTTATTACTGCTATGTGCTAATCAGGCCCTATGCTTCATCTCGTATGTAATGCCTCGTTTAAACTAAGTTCTAGTCTTCAACCCCGGCAGTTTCATCTTGAACACTGTCAGAAACGCATGAAAGGCTTTCACCCACTAGTCCTTCAGCAGTCCATTACTCAACAGCGACAGTCTCAAGCTAGCCTTCAACACGAGCCTTTCCAAGTCAGACAGTGCTGACACCGATCCTGAACCCACAAAATCCAACGTCTTTTCTATTTCGGCAACGGGAAGTACATTTTATCCCAAAGTAACAAAACTCAAGGATGAGATCTTTCCTGCTCCCTTCTGCTTTTTAAAGGGCATGCATTTTGTAAATATTTAGTAGATATTTAGCTCTAAAGTAGTAATACTGATTTTTTTGTCTTAACTAGAATTAGACATACCAGTGAAAGTTGTCCTTCTGTCCTCTTGGAAAGTTACGTGTTTCTCCCAAATATGTTGACAATGCCGAACACTTCTCTGAAACACTCTGGAAACTGTCTTCAGGCCAAATGCTTTATGATCACTATTTCATTTAATCTTCACAAAACCCAAAGGGAGGGCACTATTAGCACCTCCATTTTACAAGTGAGTCTACTGAGACTCAGAAACCCTAAGTAACTTGCCCACTGCTGCAAGCAGTAAACGGCAGAACAAGGGTTAGAACCAAGGTCTCCCTGACTCCAAAGCTCTGGTTCTTGTTTCACTAATAAGTATCACCTTTAATAATAAAATAGATACAATTTAATGATCTCATAACTTTAGTTTTTAAAAGCTGTATCAAAACTTAGGGGGCTTCATTAATTACTGACACTATTATGAGCTAAAGTCCACCTAGGAAAATAGATACTCTACAATGGATAGAAGACTTACTAAATTAAATGAACGTCTTGTTTTCAACTCTACCATACCATTTCCTCTCGAGTTGGGCTCTCTGCCCAAAAGTACTCTAAAGTTATGATTTCCTTGCACAGAACTTTGAAGGAAAAGCAGCTGAGATTTTTTCTCCTTCCGCCCTCCTTGCAGTCTTTGATTTTTATTTCCTAAGAATTTTTTTCACTTACCCTCAACTGGAAAGCAATATGATTCCTTTTAATTTCTTATAAAACAAACCTACACAAAGTTAAACGAGGCAACACACTCCTTTGACTTAATGGTATGTTACTGCATTCACTTTCTTAATAACTAATTTTTCAAAAAACAAATCCAGAAAATGTAGACAACGTAAAATAGCACATTTGAAAATGCTCCAACATATTCATGTCCTAAA